ACCTGAGGTTCTGAAAATAGGAAAGAGCTAATTGCCAAGTTCTCCCAAGTGTTGATCTTGGTTTGTCTGAGAGTTGCGGGCACAGACAATTTTCCAAAGATGGGGTCTCAATTCTGTTTTTCTAAATTCTGATTTGACGATGGAAATTACTAAGTTATACACAGGGTATTCACAGGGCCTTTTACACTCAGTTTTGTTGTATATGAAGTTCCTAATAAAATAGAAATCAATTGATAAAGGTCTGAGAAGCCTGATTTATATGTTCCTATCACTATTATGTAGACCTTTGAAAATTTCTGCTTAACCTGTATGGAGTTTAGACAATCTGTTGTAATGGCTGTCAGCTTAAACCGTGACCAGGGTTTAAATTCCCACAGAAGGGGCTTGTTCAGCTTTTGAGTTTCTGACTAGCCCAAAGGAAGGAGAGCTAGTCAGAAAGAGTTTGGGGGCTGGGACAACATAAGGGCCCAGGAAGGGAGAGGAGGAATAGGAGGATGAAAGCTTGAAAGTTGTATCTTGTGCAAATGTCAAAGCGACAAAGTCTTTTATGATGTTCATTTGCCTCTTTCAGAATACCTAGTGAATTGTGCAATCTGAATTTCTATTGTGAGTGTCCCTATACTGTTAAAAACTAAACATAAATCTTGAATATTTGGAATTTTACTACCTTTCCCATTCTAAAGCATTTCTGAAATGAACAATTCTGTTCTTATAAAACGTCTCCCAAACTTGCTACTGGAATTCTAAATTATTTTTGGTATAAAATTATAACATTTAGAAATAGATTCAGCAATATGAGTTACAGTATAAACATACCAAACAGGCAAGAATCTGGCCTGCAGGCAACATGAACTTGAGTTTCATCTGAGACAAACACAGGACATTCTAGAAATGCCCAGGCAAGGGGGTGGGTACCTCATCTCCCGGACTCTCCACTGGTGACTCTTCCGCTCCTGTAGTAAACTGGACAAATGGGAAGTCCTTAGGTGAGGTAGGGTTTGAACATGAACTTGCTCCTGTCACCTACCAAGAGCTAGCAATGAAAAGAACAGTGAGCCCAAGCACCTTTGCTACAGCAAGGCAGTTTTTTCCAGGAGCAAATGCTTGCAAAGCTGATAAAAATCAAAGGACTCCTGAAAGGGAATATGGGGGGAAGGGGGGTAGTGAGGGGGCACACACACTCAGCATTGATTGGCTTGAGGAGGAGAATGTGGGACTGAGGTCTAATCAGAGACTTACCCATGTCTCTAGTCTTCAGTGTTGCTTCCCATTCCTGAATTGAAGGCCTTGGGCTTCAGCAGCAAGGAAGAATTAAGGACCTCGGTGGAGCTTCCAGGTTGTGGAACTCGCCCAGATGTCACCAGGAAATCTCTTGATAAACAAAAACTACTTTTAGAAGAACTTAACTGCAGAAGGGGAGAAAACCATGTTCGCAGACTGACCAGACCCTGCCTCTAAAAGGGTAAGAAAGAAGTAGAATGATTGTCGGACAATGGTGTCTGGACTCAAATAGTTCAAGGGGGGCTTTCAAAATGGCAAATGAGTAGAACTGGGTAAAGTTCAGGGTATTTTTTTGTGGGGGGAATTGGCTGCACAGACAAATTAAGCTCTTGATCAATGCACTAATGCACTGTTACCCAAGTGGGATTACTAACATCCTGTATATTGATCTGCAGGCACTTCTGGGAGGAAACAGTAGCTTTTATGGTTAGTGTGCCCTGTCCCCTTTCCCTTGCTACCATTTCCTAGAAGAAAAAGCTAAATCACATTGACCTAAATGGTCGATAGTTTTATCATGACATGTACATGCATGGTATCATCCAAAGACTAGATTTGAATACTGAGAAGGTAGAATTTATATTAAAAACACCAGAAGATTTTAAAAAAATGAATATTGTACCCTACTAAAAAGAAACTATATCAAAATATATGATCAACATGAACATTTCAGATTAGAAAGTAGCATCAAATTAAAGAAGTAACTGAAAGAATTAAGAGTTTGGAATAGAAAAAAAAAGAAAAGAGAAGTGAACAATTATAGTCACAGGCAAGTCTCAATGTATTTCTAAAGCCAATATAATTGACAGAAAATTAGAAATATCAAAATTAAGTTCATGACATAGCAATAAATTCTAATATCCCAAAAAAGAGAGCACACATACTATTGTCCAATAAACACATAGCAAGTAACAAGGAAAGTCTCAATGTATTTCTAAAGCCAACATAATTGATAGAAAATTAGAAATTCATAACAAAACTAAGATGACTTTTCCATTAAAGGAAAAATCATAAGGAAATTAAGATATATTTGCAACTGCTCACCAAAAAGAACACTACAGGCCCAATAGCAAATATAGGTAAAACAGAATTTAGGTCAAGTTTAGTTTTAAAATGTGTTTCAGAAAATGGAAAGTGACCGAAGAATGATTTTTTGAATATAAGTTTTAGAAATCCTGCTGTACAACAGCACATGTATGAAATTAATGAGACACCAAAAGTCAGGGGGAAAATATCCTTTTAACAACACAGGTTAATCTTGTGGGCTGCTGATTTTTAAATTTTTTTCACTCAAGTATATCTTTTGTCAGTATTTCTTTCACTCAAAATGATAAGAAGGTAACATTTTCAAGCTGAAGAAAAGCTGCATGTGCTCATGGCTGTACTTCAAATAAACCAAAAAATAGTTACTCTGATACTTTTTAAAGAGATTTTGACTCTGTTACCTTTGCAGTCTTCACACTGAGGAGGCCTCAGGGCCCCTGGCCATGTCTGAGGTTCTCACTTGGTTGCCTCTTAAGATCCTGATGACTACGTGTCAGGCTTTACCAGGTAAGCTTTACCAGGTAAACCAGAATCCCTGATGGGACACTCCATTTTGAAATCTGCTGTGCCTTCAAATGCAAAGTTGAGAATCTCTGAAGTTAAATAGTTCAAAGGCAACTCCAGTTTCCACTGAAATCCTACCTAGGGCTGTTCTTTACTTTTCCCTTTGGACAGCTTCATCCTTATCTGAAGACAAATATGGCAAATGGATCCAATGTACATAGAGCAGAAAACAAGGGAAAGAAAAACGTATGGGCAACATCAACATCCCCTAATCTCCCAACCAGCCATGGCGAGAGTTCTAGCTAGAACTAGAATGAAAGTATCCAATAAAGCTCAGTCCCTGGGCACGGTAAAGCCACTTAACCATACAGGGTATGAAGACCTGACCAAACAGCAGGGCCCTCATGAGTCACCCTCATGATTTGGCTGCCAGAAAGTAAACTTCAGCTCTCCCAACTGCAGGAAGAAAAGCATATATCTGGACAAGGAAGACAGGGTGGTTGGTATGCTTTAAGGACTGAATCATGGCAAAAACGGATTATGGTTGATGAGGTGTCATCCCCAAAAGGGAGAAGGGGGGACTAACTAGCAGAAAAAGCGTCTGCAAGAAGAACATGACATATTTTCAAGGTACCTGAAGAAGTCAGGAGCTTGATTAGATTTACTGGGTAAAGCCCAGAAGTCAAAATTAAGGGAGAGCTGGAAGGACACGCTTCAGCAGCTGGGCCATTGCAAAGCCCCAGGGCCCTGGCCAGGAGGCTTGTCCTAGGTGTTGTCGAAGTTTTCAAGCAAATGATGGTTGAAGAGAATTTCAGAGCTTGAATTAGCTATGACAGCTAATTCTCCCCCTTGAAAGATTTTAGGAGCCCGTAGGATGAGTGTATTTAACTGTAGCTCGGGAGTAAAGTGAGCCTTTTCGTGCCTGTTCTGTTGAAACAGAGCATGGTGGTCCGCACCCTGCCCACTCTGTGCCCAGGAGGCAGGCAGGCCATCAGGGCCAGCACCACAGCGGCCTCCCGCCGAGCCTCCAATGGGAAATGCTGTCGCTTTTCTGCAGATGTCACTTCCTACAATCTGCTCAACACATGTCTCTCTTCATTAGTCCCTTTCTCACCAAGAGCCAGCTTCTTGCAAGTTCCCCACCGCGTCTCTGCACTGTTCACGAAGGTGGTGGCCCTTCCCGCCCCGTGGGCCAGGTCTTTAGACACCCCAAAAGAGCTATTAGCATCCTCCCAACAGAGCTGGCTGCCTTCTGAGAACCCTGGCTAGGATTTCCCCAGCCAACTTTCAGTCACCCAGATGGAGTCACCCAGATGGAGGGAAAGTGTGTGTGTGTGTGTGTGTGTGTGTGTGTGTAGGGGGTAACGCTGGGGGCCACTGAGGGAAAGTTCTTGTGTGTGTGTGTTGGGTTGGGGGTCACTGAGGGAAAGTGTGGGTGTGTGTTAGGGGGCTGGGGGGTCACTGCTGGCTCCCAGGTCGCTCCCGAGGCTCCTCCGTTGTGCAGACTTTTTCTGGGAACTTCTAGAACCCCGGGCCCTTCCCGAACCTCTAGCGGGGCGCTGATGGCACCAGCGGGCCTGCGGC